CATTATTTGTTGGTGTTTAAGCACTTGATATAATTACTATTGCCAGTTGGAGGGTAAAACAATTCATAAATTTCATCAAAAATAGTCTTACCTACAAAGCGTAGCTGTACTGTACACGTGTACAGGGATTTGTTGACATGCTTCGATAAAAGTATGTCGCACTAAATAATAAAGAAATTATTACTAACAAAACTGATAAATCAATAGGTATGTTATTAAAATGAAAACAAAATTTTCCATCGATTTAAAAAAACCACTATTGCCTTATTAAGGAAAATGATCACATGCCTAAATTTTTAAAAAAAAAAATAACTGAAGGAGGATTCGAACCTGCACCGTTTATTTTCTAGTCGCAAGTAAACTGCGTTACACATTCGGCTACATAGAACATATAGATATTGGCAATTACAAACTTATTTAACCCGAGAAACACCGGTCGCAGTTTAGAGAAACTTGATCACCCCTGTTTTCCATTATTTTGAGCACTTTCCCAAAGGAGGACCACTTTTCCGTAATACGATTTGTTTTTGCAAATTACATCACGGTCACAAAAAGTTTATTCAAAAGTTGGTCCTCGGATGGGAAAGTGTTGAAAGTATTTTTTAAGTCCGGGAAACCCCATCACTTTCATAGATATAGTGTATATGGCTATATTTGCAGTATCATATTAGCAATACCTAATTTCTCAGCAGTTTCAAAATTCATATTCAATTGGTTTTGTATCTTTTGTATGCATTTTTGCTACCCGGAATGCTTTACTCCTTTTTTTTTTCCCCCGTTTTCATAAATGCCGACTTTGGGAAATACGGGCAGTTTTCCGCCATACCTCTTTACCCACTGCCATCGTCTATATATATATAAAACATTGCTTTGTCGTCAAACGCTACTCCTAGTGTTGTGTTCACCATTGTGGGCAAAAGTTAATACCGGGCAGACGTTTCCCAGTATACAGTAATAATTACGGTTGCTAGATTTTATTGTCTCCTTAATGCTGTCAGGAATAATGGGGTCCACTATGACGAGGTTAATGACTTTCTTTACTAAGTCACGTTCAACTTTCACTATGTTTTTCGCTTTTTCTTTGGGCAAGCTGTCGTCGACGGGATCAGTGGTTGATTCAAATTCCTGCCATAATAGAGATACATGTAGAAAGTAATTGGAATGTTGTTATTTATAATTCTGTGCAAATACAACATTATAGTACAATTATTGACTTTTAGCGATAATAAGGTTCACGTGCAACTATACAGACCTGACCAGGAATTTGTTCACAGGTCAATTAATAAATCACTTATCAGATATGTAATTATGTATACTTTCAAAAGTCAATATTTCGGGTGTCCCAGTGGCTCGGTGGTATAATGCATGGACAAGGTAGTTCAGTGGTGCGTGACCGCCATGGAGCAATAGACCGATATAGTGTTTAGGTTCGAGCCCTGGTATGTCTATAGAGTTTCCTGCTAGATCTCTCTGGTGACATGATGGTTTTCTCAGTCCTTCTGTTTCCTCCATCATAAAAAACCCTGTGTAGGTGTAAATAATAAAATTCCCCGTCTCCTGTAAATATTGTAAATACTATTCCCGCTCGGCTATCTCTCAAAAAGAGCTGATGGCTCAAGATGGTAACCGAGGGTAAATAACGTCCATTATTATTATTATAATATTAAAATCTTTTATTATATACTATACGGCAAGGGTGGATTTGCCCCCCTTGTTCAGGATTTTTTTTGTACATAAAAAACGACTTATGCCATATTAATTTGCTTACAGCCCCCCTCCGTGACACATACAAATCTTCGCCCCCTTCCCCCGTTTCAAAATTTCTGGATCCGCCCCTGTACGGGTGGAAAATATCTGAAATTACCATTTGACTATTTGCAGCACAGAGAGGTGAATTTTGTTGTGTAGACTCGAGCACCAAAACCAGAAAATTCTTCTTATTTTGGATAGTCCACATAATGCCAATGTATGAGAAATTTGCAATTAACCGTAATACACTGACTGGCTGTTAAGATCTATATTTTATTATATTTTCCTCGAAAAGAATTTATTAACAGAAATATGCAATTAAGAGAAATATTTTATTGACAGAAATATGTTATTAACAGAAATATACACCAAAATATGCAAATAAGTTAAAATAATTAAAGAAAAAAAACTATTAAGTTATTAACAGACCTGTATGCAATTTTAGTGGAATCCACTGCACGGTGACAAGTGTAATATAGGTAAACATGTGGTCGTGATTTAATTGTTTTTATTTAATTTAAAAAATATATCTTTCTACTCCAAATAATGACACGGTACTTGTTATTGTAATGACTCATTTGTTTACATTATTATAATTTTATATGATGTCACATGTTTGTGAGAGGCTGAGTATGAAGCTGTATGTAATAAAAAATAATTGAGAAGACAAAAATGTTATATTTAAGTTGTTACCGTTAATTTCATATTATAAATTTATGAGATTATGTGCAATAAAAACAATAATCTGATTATTAATATTTGCTTTCTTATTCTTATGATTATTTTTGAAAACATAAAGCAACATGGCCTAAAGTATACACGGGACGTGTCCAAGAAGGTTTAGGATATTTATATTGCTGTCCGGAACCAGAGAGTGAGTCAACAAGGGAACCATCATCAACAAGGGAACCATCATCATCACGGCATGTGTACTTGTCAGCTTGTACATGAGGGTGCAGCTCACTACATAGCATAGTATACATACAAGGCACATTGATTACAAATATATTGTGGACAAGTATTGACATACAAAATAGGCGAATGTTCTCACAAGAGGTTATCACCAGAACGGCACCTGACCGGTGAAGTGAAAGTGAAACCACAGACTAAAAACTGAAAAAATCCGACTCGGCTGCTTCGTGAACATTATGTTATTGACCACGAATAATGCTTTAGATATTGCTTTTTTTCTATTTCAGGTGTGGGAATATGATATTAGAATAACACACATACCTCACACAGTTCGTTTAATTCATGTTGTGTGAAATCGATGCTTAACAATATTTCTATCGACAGCACTCGAGTGTGTTTACCAATGGCGAATAGACGGTACGAGTTATCGGCCTTGATATTGTATGACACCCGGTGAGGGCACTGCGAAATCGGTAACATATTTTCCCGCCACTGGGAGTCGGCGGTCCCTTTACTTTAGGTCTCTGGTTCATATCATCATTGGGGTTGGTACTATTACCGAAAGTTGATTTTAACGTTTAAAATGTTTACAATAACTCTGGACGCCTTAGTTCAGGTCCAAATACAGCTGTAACAAATTCTCAGGTCCCTGTGCATAAACTTCCTCACTATAATACACAGGATCTTCAAACTTGGTGTACACGAAAAAACGGCGTGGAAAAATCAATTATTAAATCAATAAAAAGTAGAACGTTACTTTTGAGAGAGTAGAGAAAAAAAAATCATCACTTCACTTCTTTAAAGATTTACGAATTTCTATTTATTTATGTCTTAAGCGTAACACAATGACTACTAACTAGACTTCACATGATGGTTTGTATTCCCTTTTGCTGTGATATTTAAGGATTAACTTGAATACATTTTTCATGTTATGGAGGTTATAGCTCCATAACATGAAAAATATATTCAAGTTAATCCTTATAATTTAATCTACTATACACAATCCCTGTGGGAATCCAATTTTATTGATGGACTCTTTTCTTTTAGAAATTATTGCGCTGCTGTATCAGCCAATCAAAAGCGACGTTACAAACGGCGACGTCATTTTTTACGTCATGGGCTGAAACATAAATTTTAAGCCATTGAAAATGCTTGTTACAAGCAAGATTAAATTATATGAATTTATTTAAAAATTTATTCGGGGCAGGTTCGTCACATGATACAGGAGCAGGTTCGGCCGAGACAACACATGGACAATCGTGACATTGGCGGGAAAATCGCACGTTGCATAGTATATGACGTCAGAATTATGCTGACTATCACGTTGGCCGAACTTACCCTAAAAACTGACTGTCCAAACTTTGTCCCCATGGCTGGGCACGTTCGACCATCCCATTTCCCGAAGAAAATGTTAAATAATTCATCAGATATTGACGTTATTACCCTTTTGCTATTTTTTTTTTTATTAAAGAGATATACTTTTTCTTCCATACAATTAAATTTCAACAAATGACATGCTGTCTAGAACGACTTAATAAAAATGGGTCCAACTTGCTCCGGTCTCCCCTAACTTCATTGTTCCTGAAATGAAATATGCCTACAAAAATACATTTGGATTAAACCATAAAGGAAATTAAAAAATCCTGTACTGAGCACCTCTGTTGGAAATATTCATACAATTACCCGTTTCCTAAAAGTCAGTTAAACGAGATAAGTTATATGACCGAAACAAGTTTTTCGGCAAAAGTTAACATTATTATTAGACACAATGTTAAATCTTAGACTTCCCTATATATGAGGAAAACACCGTAAGCTTGAACACAGTAGATATAAGGAACGAATGCAAATAAGGGAAGATTGAAGTGGCACTGTGCATATGACTATGACCGGGTATATTGTTATTGTTGGCACCGCCGAATTTTACTTTATCTTATTTTCAGAACAGAGTCGAAATATCCGGAATTAAAAAAACGAAACTAACGCACATATATCCAGTATTAAACGATGAGATTTTCAGAAATAGGCCTAATATAGAATAACGTCATGAGAGTGGACGCCAAATCAATGGTTTCTCAGTTTAATAGAGTGTGTGAGCCGATTGGGTACTTAACTTACTTTTTAAAACAAATTTTCCTGACTTCGCTGTCCGTCCCATTGTGATGAAATTTTGCACGCAGATGGAGAATTATCCAGTTTTTCCATTAGTAATATTTTGATACCAATTAGTTTGTTCATGTAATAAGATATACAATTTTGATCCCTTCAGGTTACTTTTGACGTCATTTTGATGCTCGATTTATCTCCCTTCTTCATTTGACGTCCGGTCCCGTGACGTCATTCTATAGTATTTGTTACGTCACTTCCCGGGAGACGTTCAACGACAAGATAAGCAATGTAAATTGCTATCTGCAATGTCTTGAAAATGCCTTAAATCATGGGCAGAAACAAAAAAAGACATCCAAGATGATGGAAAAAATCCGACGGATGAGTTTTAGCTCCGAAAAAGGACAAAGTGCTGCTCAAAAGAAATGGAGGACAGCCATAACGACAGTATGTAGACCTGCTCAATATTGGTTCAAGACAAGGCTCATGTGGTGTTTTCTATCGTAGCACATTTTTACCGAAACGTATAACACATGCTAGTCTTCTTTATCTTAACAAAAAGTTTGTATTTAAATAAACAGTTTAGACCATATAAATAGGAGTTTTAGCTTATTGTTGGTGTCATTTTTGTGAGTTTGTGACCATGTTTTCATTTGTTTTGATTGATTACAAAACGCACATGTTATACTTATAGCAAGAATCGACCAACACGATCATAAATATAGACTATCTATTCTCCTACAGTTTCATAAACATGTACTCGAAAATTCAATAACATCTAGGCATAACTGATAAGTTAAAGTTTTAAGAGTTACAGTGAAAAGTCTTTTTGATTTTTTTTCTGTTGCAGGTTCGCCGGGGGAACGCTGTAACAGTAAGTACTGTTATTTTTCCATTAAGAATCTTGTGGTTGAATAAAATTCCAAGTTCAACGCTATATCTTCTCACTGTGAACTTCGATTGATGGAGGGACTGACAGATTTACAAGATCGACTGGTTCCAGTGTGTTAAGTTATATCATATTAATTGCGTTAAATTAATGAATTTTTGCGTTGTCATGCTAACAAGCACTCTGTTATACGTAACGAGTCGCGCAGGCAAACTTTTAGACCACCAAGCGCCCGTGTAGCGTGTCTGTACTGTTATGCCTTTTAATAAAGACTTTAGTTGTTTAACAACAATTATGAAACAAGCTATAAAATTATAAATTATGTTAATCACTATTGTTGCTCGGATGTAAGCGCGTGTGGGCCTCAATGTTGGAGGAAACCGGAGTAATCAGAGAAAACCCATGTCGTCGGGCAGGTGACCCATACCTTTTCACGTCCGATCGAGAATCGAACCCCAGCCGCCGTTGTGAAAGGCGAGTGCATTATCCACTGCACCATCCGACCACAAAATATATGTGTTTTATTTACATGTGCTTGAAAAGGACGTGTTGCCATGGACCCATGTTCCTTTAGGACGTTTGAGAATAGGCGTGTATGTAAAGTACGTGTTGCCCTGGGTCATTTAGGTGTACGTGTAAAGGACGTCGTGTTGTCCTTGGTCCTTTGGGTTATATGTAAAGGACGTGTTGCCCTGGGTCCTTTGGGTTATATGTAAAGGACGTTATGCCCTTGGTTCTTTGGGTTTTATGTAAAGGACGTGTTGCCCTGGGTCCTTTGGGTGTACATGAAAAGTGCGTGCTTCCCTAGGTCCTTTGGATGTATATATGTAAAGGGCGTGCTTCCCTGGGTCCTTTGTATGTATATATGTAAAGGGCGTGCTTCCCTAGGTCGTTTGGAAGTACATTTAAAGGACGTGCTACACTGGGTCCTTTCATTGTACATGTATGTAAAGGACGTGATGCCATGGGACCTTTGAGAGTGCATGTAAAAGACGTGCTAACATGGGACCTTTGAGAGTGTATGTAAAGGACGTGCTGCCCTGGGACATTTGAGAGTACATGTATAAGACGTGTTGTCGTGGGCCATTTGGGTACAAGTGCATGTAACGGCCGTGTTGCCCTTGGCTATTTGGGTACAAGTGCATGTAAAGGCCGTGTTGCCCTGGGTAATTTTGTTGAGTAGGTCAATGACGTGTGACAATGGACCATTTCATTGGGTGAATTTATAATATAAAGGAAATGTTGCCCTGAGTCATGCGGGTGTACATTTGGTTGTAGATATGAAGAACGCGCTTCCCGGGTTATTTGGGTGGATATGTAAATGGCGTGTTGCCCTCGATTCTTTTGAAGTACATATTTATAAATAGCGTGTTGTCCTGAGTCCGCTGGGTGTAGCTTACTTGTAAAAGACCTGTTGCCCTGCATGGTTTCATTGAGAAGGACTGAGAACAATAACTGTATATAGAAAAGAAAATACATGTCGATGCAAATCAATGTTAAGATGGATTTACATTTATATGCAAATTACGTTTGGTTTGTACCTTTAGACCCGGCGCCGGTCCAGCGCTGTTGAGGACGACCCGTTTCTGGCAAGATTTACGGTTACTGGGCGCGCGACCGGCGACGATGTAGGCGACCACTACTTTATCGACTTATTCACGTCAACGTAAGTAATACAATATAAACCTTGGTCCGTATTCATGAAACTGTTCTCATGCTCAAGCAACGATTTTGTGGTCAAACTCACTTTCTTGTAACTCACTGAAATCATGTCAAACAATCAAAAAGTCAAATGTTAACACTGAAAACAGTATTTGGCTTTAAGTTTCTTCAATCCCCCGCCTCATTTTACAGTTGTACCACGTGTTTTAAAGGAATTGCTAAGAAAACTAACAAAGTTATGATCAATTGTAACTTAGGGGTCGGAGGGCATAACCCCTATCCCAAGTAGGTCAGACACCTGGTTACATCACCCCCGTTTATGTAACCAATTGTTACTGAACCCACCATTAGGACTAGTGTACCATGTTATTATTTAACCCACGTATATAGATCATGTTACTAAACCATGCACGTGTAACACATTGTTACTTAAATCAACTATAACATGATTTTTTCAGTGAATTTCGGCCTTTTTGTCTCAGATATTTTTCTCAAAATCATCGCAAAAACCCCCTTTATTTTCCCAAAAGTATGCCTGTTGTGCGTTAATGTTTTCCCAAAGTCTGACACAAGGCACAGGCCCCTGTCGAAAAGAGGAAGAAAATCACTGTACAATGTAACACGTTACTACTTATTCAAACGTATGTGTAAAATATTGTTACTTAACCCAAGTCATACACTGTACTGAGTCGATTTTGTCCACTTTTAATGAAATATTTGCTTATTTAGTCGATTTTGACCCCTTTTAATGAAAAAAAATGCTTATTTTGTCGATTCTGACCCCTTTTAATGCAAAAAATGTTTATTAAGTCGATTTGACCCCTTTTAATGAAAAAAATGCTTATTTAGTCGATTTTGATCCCTTATAATGAAAAAATTGCTTATTTAGTCGATTTTACCCCTTTCAATGAAACATTTGCTTATTTAGTCGATTTTGACGCCTTTTAATGAAAAAAATGTTTATTTAGTCGATTTTGACCCCTTTTAATGGAAAATTTGCTTATTTAGTCGATTTTGACCCCTTTTAATGAAAAAAATATAAACGTGACATATCTATCCTTTCGTCAACGTTCTGATGTGTTAGAAGCACCCTGTAATATCTGGTCACGTCGCTATTTTTAGGTTTTGGAAGGAGTTGGTGATCAACCCCGCCAATCCCTCCTACTACTACCTGTCCTTGCTGGTGACGTCAGCTATCCTCTACAATCTCATCGTCGTCATCCTCAGGGGAATCTTCTATGAGATCAACAATATCAGTATGATGCACTTTTGGATGCCTGTCGACTATCTCTCCGACTTGCTCTACATGCTGGACATGTTCTTTATGAGTCGAATAGGTAATATACATACACATATTATACCTGTCAATTATGTACATTTCTCTGCACAGAAAACTATTCTCTTACCTTGGGCAGGCTGTATCCACACTTTTCCCAGTGGGAGATACATAAATGTATCCTTGTCTCACCCTAAGGTACCTCACTTCTGGCTTTAATGTTGAGCAATAGGTTGTGTCCCCTGGCCCGGGATATACCAAAGTCTTAAAACATGGTAGTTGTTATTCACTGCTTAACGTTCAGCATTGAGGGTAATGGCACTAGCTGGTTCACCCGTTGTCAGTTTAATGTGGCCGGGCGGAAAGCTGTGCTGGGTGCCTTCGGCTTGGTGTTTCAGTGAGATAGCACTATAAAGTCGGCATCAGATCCGCACTATTACAAGAAGGCAAGTACACCAACATACCCTGTCTCCAGCATACATACACACACGACACTTACACAACACACATGGAGGCACGTCCTCCAATGACATTAGATGTTAATAGGTCTTTAAACAAAGTAAAACTACACCAAACAAAACGCACTAGGGTTGAGACGGGGGATTCCCCATTAATAACTTTTGTATGACGTCATGTAACAATACAATGATGTCATGCCAACCCTTTTATTTAGCCTGTTACATTAACATTACATTATGTATATGATACACAATGGCTGAACAGGAATCTCAACCCTCCGGGAAAGATTTTTTGTTGCCAAACACTTGGCACAGCCTCGTGTTTCGCTTAGGTTCTATTAACTTTCTTGCCTATACGGTTCATATTTTCAATTTTATCGCGTTGACAGATTCCATATTGTTGCGTCGGAATTTCGTTACGTCCTGTTATTATTATCCCATTGTGACGTCACGCGCTTGATTGGGATGTGATACGTTATATAGGACAGATGTTACATGGTGATATATAATAATGTTGTATCTTAGTCATGCTTTGTCCAAACACTTTCCAGTGATGAATGAATATTATTAATACACAACCCGAAGAGGTGCATAAAAAACCACATTTAGCCTAAGACGATTCCTATCGCAATATCTCGGCCAACTCCGTCAGGGCTCGGAATTAATTGTGTTCCGAGCTCAGACGGAATTGACCGAAATGGTGAATTTGTGGTTATATGAAAATCAACCGAGACAAGGGCGAGGTTGGTATCACTTTTCAAGTACGGTACATATTGCCACTCGTTCACTGAAACAAAGGTCCCTAATTGTTAAATTACATATATAGATATGAAAAGATGCTGGTTTTTTTATCATTTAGCAAGATGAAACTATGAAAATATTCAAGAGAAATGTACTGTTTATGGCAAAGATTGTTGTGCCGTTACAATTGAAGTGGTTCAAACAATGAATGTGTAGGGGGAACAGTGTTATTGATTCAAGAAATAGTCTCGTATAAATTGGTAAGCGGCATATTTTTTCTGTATCACATATAAAACAAAATAAAGTATGAACGTCGATGAGGCATGGTAAATCAACCAGAATCCACCACACACACATGCACGCATGTCATTTCTTACCAATTCATAACGTGTGCTTTTGACTTACATGCATATATATACGTATTGTCTCTATATAACCCTACCAAATACCATGGAGCGATTGTTGACGTCATCATTGTTATGTTATGTACCAAATTTAGCGAGTTTAGAGTGAGATTAAACAAAATTGCGTCACAAAAGTTGTTCTTGGATGCATGTCTGACGAAATTTAATCGATCCCAAAAAACCAACAACATTTAGTAACGTTATCATACTCGCGATTTGCGTTTTGATGTCGGTATGTGTTGTCTTACTTGAACATCTCTTTTTGTCATTCTAAGGGTTTTTGGAACAAGGTCTACTTGTACGGGACGTTAAGAGGCTATCAAAGAAATATCGCAGTTCCTGGATGTTCGCATTAGACTTTTTGTCTATCCTGCCGTTAGAGTTTCTTTACATCAGCGTTGGGTACAACGCAATGTTACGACTGAACAGGGTTCTGAAGGTGTGGCGGATGAGAGACTTCTTCAGACTGGCAGAGACACATACCAATTCCCCCAACTTGTTCAGGGTGGCTAACCTCATCTTAATGATTATCGTAATTATTCACTGGAACGCATGCTTCTATTTCGCTCTAAGTCGACATTTCGGGTTTGGTACAGACGACTGGGTTTATCCCGATACCAACGTCGGCGATCAAGGCACGTTTATCAAACAGTATGTGGTCAGTTTCTACTGGTCAGTATTGACACTGACAACTATTGGGGACACCCCCGTGCCCGAGAGGACCCTGTCCTATGTCTTTTGTATTGCATGCTGTCTTATTGGTGTGTTAATTTTCGCTACCATTTTCGGAAACGTCGGTGCAATGATCAACGAAATGAACGCACAGCGCACGGAATTTCAACATAAAGTAGACGCCGTAAAACGATACATGGAGATACGAAGGGTTGGTGGAGAGCTCCAGGAGAGAGTAGTTAAGTGGTTTGATTATACGTGGAACAACAAACAGTCTGTAGATGACAAGCAAGCTCTGGAATTTCTACCGGAAAAGCTCAGAGCTGAAATATCTATACATGTGCATTTGGGGACACTCAGAAGAGTAGCAATTTTTAAGGATTGTGAGCCGGGATTACTTGTAGAACTAGTATTGAAACTGCGATTACAGGTATTCAGTCCGGGCGATTATATTTGTCGTAAGGGTGACATTGGGAAAGAAATGTACATAGTAAAACGTGGCAAGCTGCAAGTTGTATCGGAAGATGGAAAAACTGTGTTTGTTACACTTAGCGATGGTTCCGTATTCGGTGAAATTAGTGTCTTAAACATAGCAGGAAACAAAACCGGAAACAGACGGACAGCGAGTGTAAGAAGTATGGGTTACTCGGACTTATTCTGTCTTTCTAAGAATAATCTTTGGGAAGCTCTGCAAGAGTATCCCGAAGCAAAGCAATTACTCAGTGATATAGGAAAACAACTCCTACGGAAAGACAATCTCTTGGACGAAGCGGCAGCAAGGCGAGAGGAACGACGGCGTCAAGACCTTGACAAGAAGATAGAACTTATCGGAGACTCTCTTGAGGACCTTAGAGGGGACATCGGCAACCTCATGGAGCGGATCAACGAGAAAGCCAGAGACGAGACAAATGCCGCCGAATCTGTCATCGACAAAGAAAACGCTCAAAACACAACGGGAAACAGACCCGATTCACCGATAAAGGAAGAAACAAAGCCGACCTCTGCTGGAAAGAAAGAAACCAAACCTTCTTCGGCTGGAAAGAAAGAAACCAAACCATCTTCGGCTGGAAAGAAAGAAACAGAACCTTCTTCGGACTGAAAGAAAAAAAAACGCTGTAGTGGAAAAGAAAGACAGAAACACAGTTACCAATGATAAAAAGTAACGACAGACGAATGTAATAGAAAGTAAGTTGACGATTTCAAATACAATATACAGTGTCTGCTAGTTGTGAAAACGTCTTCAAACGACTGAAAACCGATTGGAAAGTTGTATGGGAGGGCACTGTTGTATAATTTAATAGTTTGTATACAAATCAACAAAGGTGTATCCTTGTTTATGTATAACAATGAGTATCGCAGTAGATTATTAGGTATCCGCGATAATGGTAGCGTTATATAATTGTACTGTTGATAGAAAATGTAAATCGTTTTAATGTTTTCTCTGTAATTATTAGTACAACTATCATGTGAATCATTGAACGTCTTGTTATGTATCGTCAAGTTAATCTGTCAGAAACTTGTCTGAATGAACACGTTTACTGGTCTTGTAATGTATGCTGTGTAAATGAAATGCAATAATGTATATACTGAAGTTGTATGTATCTGATGTATTCTATAATGCTACTGTCAAGCCGCTGCCAAGCAGTTATGTGATTAAACATGCGTCATCCAAAGAATTTATCGCTTTTGTTTTGTTTTTCAAAAGTAACGGTTAATTTGAAGAAGAGAACGGCAATTACATGTAAGGTCCTTTTTGAGTGATTACCTCAACTATTCTTTATGTAATCGTTCAAAAAGGGACGTGACATACAAAATCAAGGCAACATTTTCTCAGTGAGACCGGAGAAGGGCAGGAGCCCGACACTTTTTATACGATTTATATTCTACGGTATTTGTTAAATATCAAGTATGTCGATACAGAGAGCTTCACCAAGTAAATATTTTTTAGGAATTGAGACAAGATGTCGGCGGTAGAGAAATACTTCGCACCATATAGAGTTAAAACTCAAGAAACCACCTCTTTTAAATGATCACCTGTGTTAAAAGACCACTTTAGAAACTATCTTTTGATGTTATTTTCGTGTAACAGAACCTGTGTTTAGAGACCGCCTGCAATGAGAGACCAGTGTATGGACGTGAAGTATCTTTATACAGATTTAACTTGCACATGCTTTCTATTAGATCTTTTGTAGCGAGCTTGTGTCTGGTAAAGTTAGCAGAAATTGTTCGAACAATTTCTTCCAAGACTGAATTACTGTATTGATTTTCCTGCATTTCTTACTCAGTTGATATATCCATTTATCACATACCTGTTGAATCTTGTTATAGTAATACAAGCAATTTTCAGACCATGAAATACAACTTTCTGTCTTGCATACCTACTAGCCGGAACTACTTTTTATGGGAATCCCCTTGCCATGGCGAACTGAAAAGGTCCCGGTATTTGCAAAAAATATCAAAGTTTATAAAATCTTTGTATAAATCTTTTTCTTTTTTTTTTTAATTTATTTTTTTCATTTTCAGAACATGTACATTATACAGAACATCACATCAACACATATCCACACATTCACACATATCTACTATTGAAATTATCAGCAACCTCATCCTCCTCATCCTCCTCATCATCTGATGCTGATTTTATACAATCACCAAGACACATTCAATTTTCACACACTTTCACACATAGAATAGACAAAACAAATGGAGAGAGAGAGAGAGAGAGAGAGAGAGAGAGAGAGAGAGAGAGAGAGAGANTGAGAAAGGAATAGTGAGAGCACTTAAAAGACTTTCAAAATTGCTCAGAAATTTTTGTACTTCCCTGCATTCCCATAAAACGTGGGTAATTGTCTCCCTTTCTATGATACAAAAAACACAGTGTGGGTTATTTACAAGTCCAATTTTGCATAAATAAGAATTGGTTGTTAAAATATAATGATTAATTCTAAATTGCAACCATTGCAATTTTGTATTTTTTGTAACCCTGAAAGGAATAGCATATATTTTCCCCCAAGTTTCCTGATTATAGTCGAATATAGTTCCCCATTTTGTTTGAGCAGTTATTGATGCATTATTTCTGATAAGTATATTATAGAAGTCTTGAGAACCTTTTTTCTTCTTTAAAATTATTACAAGATGTAACGGTATAATTGGGTATATCACATTTTTGTTTGGCAAATTAAGTTGTTTCAGATAATTCTTTATGCTTGTTATCAAGCCATGATATTCTAGATAATTAGTTATTGTACCATGTAGATCACAAAATTCCTTAAAAGACAAGAAAGAGTAGTCTGTGTTGTTTTTCAACAAATCATTAATTATCATAATCCCGTTTTTAAACCACTTACTATAAAAAACAACTTTATTACCAACAGAAATATTTTTGTTATACCATAAGGGTGTCTTAAGTAGGGCAAAATTCTCATTTTTAAACAGCTCCTCTTTTGCTCTTAATTTATACCATGCCCTAAACACATCTTTCCAAAACACATTTTTGCAATTTCCTTGAACTTTATTAAGGTACTCGTTTCCTGAGTTAGCCAAGATATGAGGATTTACACAAGATTTTAAAATGCTTACCCATTTACCTTCTGATCTAAAAAACCTTCTTATCCAACTTATTTTCAGAGCTTCAATAAAAGACATTAAATTAACCATTTTTAGCCCACCTTCTTGATAATTTTGGATTATTATGTCCCGTTTAATCTTATCAGTTTTGCTATTCCATAAAAAATTGAAAAGAACAGAATTGAGCTGTTTTATAAATTTTTCAGATGGATTAGGTAAGGAAATGAACAGATGATTCATCTGAGAAATTAATAAAGATTTAATGACATTAATTCTACCAATAGGTGTGAGCAACCTTCTACTCCAGCTCTTAATAAGAGCTTTAAGTTTAACTAATTTTTTATCAAAGTTCATTTTAGGTATTTTGCAAAGATCTACATGGAAATCTATCCCAAGAAGAGTAAATTTATTAACTCCCCATCTAAGATTCATATTTGGAAGGAGAACATCATTGCTGTATTTTTTACTGCCTATCCAGACAACTTCAGTTTTACCTACATTTACTTTAAGACCAGATATTTTTGCATAAATATTTAGTTCATCAACCGCCCCTTTCAGTGATTTTTCAGAACCATCTAATACCAGAGAAGTGTCATCTGCATACTGAGAGTTTAAGATGGGACAGTTATTAACCTTTATACCAGTTATACTCTTATTGTTTCTAAGGCGGATTGCTAAAACTTCTGCACATAGTATAAAAATATATGGAGCGATGGGATCTCCTTGACGACAACCACGATTTATTTTGAAAAAAGCTGATAAATTACCCCCCTGGTTTATAGCAGAGCTTGAATTACAGTGTAAAATTTTGACCCAATTTCTGATATCGTTTCCAAATCCAAAATATCTAAGTACTTCGTCTATGAATTTCCAAGAGACAGAATCGAAAGCCTTTTCAAAATCAACCATTAATAACATTCCAGGGATATCATTTTCCTCTGTATATTGCATAATGTCATAAACCAGGCGAGTATTTTCTCCTACATAGCGTCCCGATATAAATCCTGATTGATCAGAGTTTATAATTTTTTGTATAAATCTTTACCAAATACGGAAGGTATGTGATAAAAACAAGACCACACACTTGTGTTTTTCTAACGAATCAGAAAGCACTCATTTATTGCGCGGACGAATACATTCACTCGAGCGCTCCGCGCACTCGTGAATATATTCGTTCGCGCAATAAACTCGCGCTTTCAGATTCGTTGGAAAAACACAAGTGTGTGGTCTTGCATATATATCCCCTCAGGTATATATTACGGTAGGAAATTTCTAACTTTTTAGACGAGACTGATGAACCGAAAAATATCAAAACATTCCATACAGCAAAAGTATTTCCAATATCAACATAAAATTGTGTGATGATATTTAAAATGTTAAAGAATGACTGATCACAAATAGACAGACATGATTGTGTTGATTTTATTTACTTCCTACATGTAACAGGGCATCAATAACATCGCCCTTTTTCTTCAACGCCAGAATAGCCTCGTTTCTATCCACATGAAGCTGTGCCATCATAATTTCAATATCCCTCTTGTCAAGCCCATCTTCGTCCTCAGCACGCTCCCCTATCACCTGGAACACTGCCTTAGGGCGGATGGCTGACCGGATGCTTTCTGAGGTCATGACCTTGCCCTTGTGTATGACCTTGAGTTTGTTCATGGGGATTTTCACCGCACTGGCGATCACCTTGAAGATGTCCTCGCCGGACCAGGAGCCCTGAATCACTACTGTTTGTTTGTCTCTGTTACCCTTCACAATGATCTGATCGTAGGGCTGGCTGAGGTCGGGAGTGGGTGTGTCCCCCATGTAAATATTGTCGCTCAGATACGTTCTGGAGCCGGAACCACCACAATCAACAGGAGAACAGACATCTAGGTGCTTCTGTTCGTCCGTTTTCCCTCTACGCAAAGCTTTATCAAAATTGACCGGGGTGTGATGACTTTGGCGGGTAGAAGGTGCAGTGCCACTCTCTAAAAGAAAAGAAACTGATCAACATTTCGTGACGTCAATAAAAAACTAAGAGATGACTAAAATGTTTTTTCACAAAATAAGGCGTTTCTGGGGTGATTTATTTTCAAAGCAATTTGCAAAGGATCTTTGGGCATTATGATGAAAGAAGTCCATTACCTTTTCTAAAAGACAAACTGATGTATTAAGTCATTGGCGAAACAGATTGTTTATTTACAACCTGACCGCGGGACAGAGTACAATACATAGATGACTCACAGACAACTTTTACGGACATGTTGAAAGAGGAAGTTATAATAATACAAAAAAAACACCACCAGATACCCAAAATAGGTGACCTCTAGACCAGTACAAAAACCATGGAACAGAAGATTATAGAAAAGATCTCAGCAAATGAGGGAGAACAGATCTAGACGAAGTCCAATTCGGCAACATTAAAATCTTCTCACAACTACATTATTCGTTCAAACATATTTTATTGAAAGAAAACAATCAAAGGGATCGGGCACAAGTTCTGACAAGTTACTAGGCCCTCTCCCGACAATACAACACACAGTAACTAAATATATAACAACTTACTAGGCCCTCTCCCGGCAATACAGCACACAGTAATTAAAGATATAACAACTTACTAGGCCCTCTCCCGACAATACAACACACAGTAACTAGATATATAACAACTAACTAGGCCCTCTCCCGGCAATACAACACACAGTAACTAAATATATAACAACTTACTAGGCCCTCTCCCGACAATACAACACACAGTAACTAAAGATATAACAACTTACTAAGCCCTCTCCCGGCAATACAACACACAGTAACTAAAGATATAACAACTTACTAAGCCCTCTCCCGGCAATACAGCACACAGTAACTA